GCTCTCCGCCCCAGGTCCCGCCCCCCCGCCGCCGGCGTCACACGCACCGCCACTTCCGCCATACGCAGGAACGCATCTTCCGGCTCAGGGTTTCTGCGGCCGTCGGAGTCGCCTGCTGGAGCGTCCAGGAGTTCCGGAAGTGCCGTGGCTGTAGGACTTCCGGTGTGTCTGGGGGAAAATGGCGGGGGGTGGCCGGACCGACTCTGGCACGGGTGAGGAGCGCGGAGGCTCTACGTTCCGGAGTGGGCGGCAAAGGGGACCGTTTCGTACTCCTCTGTGGTCTTGGGGAGCGCGGGGAGTATTTGACTGCTTGGTGGTCCAGGGGGAGCGCAGGTCCAGGGAGAGGCCGATCCTGCAGGTCAGGAAACTCAGGTCACTTTCCCATCGTTTCGTGAGCCCACTGTGTGCCCGTCTGGTACTGTCTGGTGACCCATCAGTCGTGGTGCGAGAGCCAATTCAGATCTTCCCTAACTCCCAGGCGCTGTTAGCCCCTCCTCCCTCTCCTTAAGTCTTTAATGCTTGACAGAATTTCACATTAGTACTAATATCTTCAGCTCATTGTTTTCGAACGAAGTGTTTTATCACTTTAATTTTCTTTCTGAGTATTGCTTTTTGTTGCATCTCACAATGTTTTCTTTTTTAAGGAACTATCTTTCTCATATTCTTTTTTTTTTTTTTTTTGACCAGAGAGAGAGAGACAGCGATAGACAGAAAGCAAGCCCCCAGTCCCAGGACTTGAACCGTAGTCAGCCATGTGGGGAGTCCAGCACCTCAACCTCCTCTCCACCTGCCGATCCCTCTCACACTGTTTTCTGTTAGTTTTACTTTTTGTCCCAAGGTAGTTTCTAATTTCTTTGTCATCTTTTCTTTCTAAAGTGTGTTTAATTTCTACATATCTGTGAGTTTTTCATATTCAGTATGATTTCGGTCTTCTTAAATGTGTTAAGTCATGTTTTCTGATGGGATTTGAGATCTATCCTGGAGAATGTTCCCTGTGCTCTTGAGAAGAATATACAGTGCTGTCTGTTGGAATGTTTGTTAGTTACAATTGGTATATAATGTTTCTGTTTTATAATCTACTTACTAAGTATTCTATCCATTATTGAAAGTGAGATATTAAAATTGCCTGCTATTACTGTCTTGCTGTCTGTTTTTCATGTCAGTTCTGACTATTTTCTTCATATATTTGGAAGTTCTGATACTGGGTGCACATATGTGTATAACTGGTATATCTTCTTGGTGAATTATCCCTTTTATCATTCGATAATGTCCTTCATTGTGTCTTGTAACAGTTTTTTACTTGAAGTCTTACTTGTCTGTTAGTATGGCCATCCTGTCCTCCCTCCTTTACCATTTGCAGGGATTTTTTTTTTTTCACTTTCAGTCTGTATGTGTCCTTAAATCTGGAGTGAGTCTTGTAAACAGCATATATAGGTTGAGAATGCCTTATCCAAAACACTTAGGACCGGAAGTGTTTAAGATTTCAGATTTTGGGGGCCAGTAGGTGGCATAGTGTTTAAGGAGCTGGATTCCCACATGACCAACAGCAGTCTGAGTCCCGGACCTGTTGGCTTGAAACTCACACCAGGTGAGTGTGGGTGTGTGCCCAAAATCCTAAGGGAAGAATGAAGAAGAAGGAATTACAGTGTGGCTATCCCTCCTGTGGGGTGAGATCGTTGCTTTCGTGCTCTCTGGTGAGCTCACAGCCCTATAGAAAAATCTTAAACAAACAAAAAAAATCCTCAAATTTTGAAATATTTGCATGTATATATATGATATCTTAGAGATGGAACACAGGTCTAAACACAAAGCTCATTTTGTTTCATATATGCATAGCCTGATAGTAATTTTATACATGCCCTAAACAATAGAAATTCATTTTCTCACTGTTTAATGTTTTTGTATTTCAGCATTTTTTTTTTTTTTTGAGAGGTTTTTCACTATAGGGCTCGTGCACTCGCCAGACAGACAGAGAGAGACAGAAAGCGAGAAATCACTCCCCCGAAGAGAACG